GCGTTATTACACCCCAGCCGGAGCAGACATAAGCCCCGCAATCAAACTAAAAACTTGTTTGACATTTTATAATATTATAATTCAGGTGATTGATTTTCAAAAGCCGTTCTAAATTAAAGCCGCAGTTACAATCGTTTCAGCGACATGATGGGCAGAGATAAATTCAAAAGATTATACCACAACTGGCATATAAGTACTGGAAAACTCTTGGTTGTGCGATGAAGTATATCCTACTCTGTTAAAAGCACAATAGTCCAGACTTATACAGAAAAGACATTCAGACCATACACAATACAAAATCAGTCTTACCAAAAAGTGCAGATGCCCATAAAATCCTGACGTAAGTTATTGACAATTCATATTACTTTCTTCTGTTTTTACGCCGCCAACTTTATTGTTACTGAATACCTAACCTATACGTTTGTTTTAAAGGGACTATCCCGATTTGAACAGTCTCAAATTTAAAAGTCTGTGTACGTATGAAATTTAAGCACCAAATTACAGAGGAATGTACCTTGTTTCAAAATTTCAGCTTATAATATTGAGTCGTTTGGACGTGAACGTCAAAACTGCTTATCCGGACACGTAACCCTTTTAAGATTTCGGGTCAATTGTTTCGTTGGGTAACCTGATAATCGATTGCCCTTTTTTCGAGGTCTATACACTGATGTACTTGATAGCGAAAGGTAAATTTTACCTACACGTTATTTTCATAAAATAAAAGTCTGGTTTTATCCATACGAGATTGGCCCTTTAATCGGCTAAATTACGACCTAAAGATTACCCCTCAGCCCGTCACACTGGGGCTTTAATAGAATAAACCTAAATTTTAACATCTAATTACACTAAAATTTACCTTTTATACATTGGTACAAGTTTTAAACGTGTTGTTTCAACATGAACAGGTTCTTCATTTAAGTTTTTATGTTGCTTTTTCGTCGGGGTTCTCTTCTTTAAAAGAAAAAGAAATAACAATATTGCTCGTTTTCTTTGAAGTATTAGTCATATTTTATATAATTAATTGTAAAAAGAACTGACAGATGTAACTACGTGCACAAGTAGATGCCGGGTTCAAATTTAACTGGTAATGCAAAATGTCTCGTAATTAGTGACAGCGAATTAGAAAATTGCATGTACCGTGCATAACAGAGGAAATATCGCTTTGAAGAAATAGGGTTTGAATTAGGTAAACGTCAAAAGGAAAATCATAATATCTACTTGCATTAAAGGGAAGATGGAATTATGCTTAATGTTTCGCCTGCACAATACTTTGATTTGATTTGATTTTTTTTAGACAAATCAATGGAAATTATTTATCAAAGGTTCAATGTTTTTTCTAGTTGCGTATAAGGTACAACGGTCCATTTAGATATATTTTAAAACATTTTATTAAACTTAGATTTCGTATTTCGTTATTTTGTTAATGCCGTGCCCCATAGTTTAACAAGTCATAACGATTTACTGAAATCTAACGGGTTCCTTGGCCTCAAACTGACAACGAAAAACCACCCTGATAAGGCTTGTGGGACTTTCTTGGCCATCACAAGGATCGAACCAGATATTCTTCTTTAGTGAATCAGCGGCATACTCACTGGACCATCCCAAATATAAAATAAACAGTTCTTTATTCAAATATGGTATTTTAAATGCAATGCAATTGTTGACATTTCCCGTGTTATGGTGTCTACTCTAGACATGCTATACTTGTACAGATAATTACGCCAAGTTTCCGTTAAAGTTCAGTGTTCTGACAGTAATTGCAACTTCCTTCCAACTTGAACAGGACACAGACCACTATTAGTTTCCATGAATGTAGTTATTTCTAGTTATAGCCCTTACCCACTTTTGAATGGCCATTTGTATTATTGACTTTTTGGTATGGAATAGAAGAAAGGGACTTTGAGAATTTCGGTCAGCTTTTGGTGAATATTCTTGATTGTGACGGCGTTAAGATGTGAGTTACGTTGAAATGTACCATTATTCTACTTCCAGTTTATGTAACTCGCCAATTGCATGGAAAACCTTGCTGCCCCATCTGTAATAGCAAGCGTTTAAGCGAACGAAACATTTGTGAAATATGAAAATTTTTGTTTAAACGCTTGTCAGAGCACCAAATGTTAGATAAATTGTTCGTACTGTATATTTAAATTACATGGACTTACGAATGGTTTTCACGGATAGTGTAAGACTTCTGTAGAATTTTTGCTCTTAAATTAAGGATAGCATTATATTGTATAAATTAATATGTCTGGCAAGTTACTAGATTCACATATTTGTACTTAAATCAAGTTAGCGAATGAGTGACAGATGGTTACATAAAAAAATAGTCATAATGTGGTAAACATTCAATTCTAGGTTGATAACAGATATCTCATGGGAAGTTTCTCCAGTAGATTTCCACTAACCATATAAGGGTGGGTTTTGGCGTTATTTGGCTCAATTGACCAATCTTTCTGATTATTTACATCATATTTGACCAATTAGATAATTGAAGGTCCAAAACCCAAAGCTACAAAACTATCATACTTGTGAACACTGTAGAGGTCGCAACTTTTATCCGATTTCGTTTAAACTTGAAATATATGTTTATAACGCACAGATCTCGGTTCCTTTCGATATTCGGGCATATCGTAAAATCGCGTTTTTAGCTTCTGGGCCCTATAGAGGTCACAATTTTTATCCGATTTAAAAAACCGTTTGAATATATCACCGTTAGCTTCTGGACCTTATATAGAGGTCACAATTTTTATCCGATTTAAAAAAACGTTTGAATATATCACCGTTACACCCTTAGGGTGGCCGAGTTCGAATTTCGTAAATATCGGACCGAAACTGACGGACAAAATGGCCACCCCTCGTTTGCAAATAGGTCAAAATATTGTGTATCCGGGTTGTGGACCCTCTGGAGGTCGCAGTTTTTATCATCTGATTTTGATGAAACTTGTTATGCATGTTTGTAACCCAAATACGAGGGATGATTGATAAGTAGTGAGCCTCGATTGGAAAACCGAGCAACACAATGATACCACGTTTTGCACGTGCACTATTATGTTCCTCGGGCTCTGTCACAAACTTTCATCACATTCAGTTAAACTGTTTGGTTGTGAGGTCATAACAATCAAGTAGGGTATGGTGTTATCAGAAAATGGACCATATCGAGGCGAGAGCTGTGATTAAGTATCTGCATAAAAGGTTCTAATACCGAAAGCCATATGATGCCCTTTCATATGCCAAAATTAAAAGGTGGTCAGCTGAATTCAAGCGTGGCCGAGACAGCATTGAAGACGAACCACGCCCTGGTCGACCAAAACCTGTGTCAACACCTGAAATGTATACAAAAAATCCATGATCTGATAATGAATGACCGGCGAGTTACTGAACGATTCATAGTTGGGGTAGTTGGTATTAGCCAGGAGAGAGTTCATTCTATTACCACTGAAACTTTGGAAATGACAAAGGTTTCAACACGATGGGTGCCAAAGCTTTTGACGCCTGATCAAAGACACATCATGCCAGAGGAGAATCTAGCCTTATTTGATACCGATCCTGACCGCTTCCTAAAACAAATTGTTACTATGGATGAAACTTGGGTCCACCACTTTCAGCCAGAAACAAAAGAGCAGTCAAAACAGTGGAAACATGTGACGTCGCCGACCCCAAAGAAGGCAAAGACTGTTTCATCGGCAGGAAAGGTGATGGCCTTAGTATTCTGGGATTCTGAGGGTGTTCTCATGGTGGATTACCTCCAAAAGGGTCAAACAATAACGGTAGATACTATGCAGCACTTATAAGGCAGTTGAGGCAAGAAATTAAGACCAAAAGACGAGGAAAGCTGACTAAAGGTGTGATTTTCCACCAGGACATGTGCCAGTGCACTAATCAGCTGTTGCCATGTCAGCAATCCATGACTGTGGTTATCAACTTCTTCAGCATCCACTCTACTCCCCTGATTTAGCTCCCTCAGACTTCTATCTGTTTCCTGCTCTGAAGAAATGTCTTTCCGGTAGGCATTTCCCGTCTGACGATGACGTCATTGCCGCTGTGGATGATTTTCTACACACCCAAGACAAAGACTTCTACAGAACTGGAATAAAGGCTCGGCAACACCGATGGCAGAAATGTATTACATTGAAGGGGGACTATGTTGAAAAATAAATGCATTTGATTTGAATTTCTTGTTTCTTTCTGTGTTAGGCTCCTTACTTATCAATCACCCCTCGTATCTTGGTTCCTTTTCATTTTCGTACATATCGAATCGTAACTTCCTGAATTATGGCCCCTGATTGTACGAAAAATCGCGTTTTTAGCTTGTGGTCCCTCTAGAGTCTAGAGGTCCGTCTTACTTCCGGTCCGTCTAAGATACGAATAGCCAAGTGATCACGCTTCAAGTTTGATTTGTAATTAATAACGCTGTAAAATGACCAATTTAATTACATTTGAAGGTGTATAACGATCAAATAAAGTCTCGTTGGCAATAAAAACGACGGGAGGTGTTAGAACTGGTGAGTATTGTGAGATGACAGCAGACGAAATGTCGTCAACAAGTCAAAACAAAATGTCAGCTGATACACCTTCTTATTACTGTAATATAAAGACACCTTCTTATTACTTATTACTGTAATATATAGTCAAAGAGTAGTAAGAAGTTTTATTTTAATCCCTTCAAGGGCCTGTGGAATAAACTCAGTTTCCGCGTAGAGGGGATGGTGGCTAGTAGCCTTAGCTGCCCCACAAATAGTGCGTAGTGCATCAAGCTGGAGGGATTCAAGATTATTAGATAAGTAGTCTGTGCATCCGTCCCAGGTAACATCGGCATAGTCAAAGTGCGACAGAATGAATGAAGAATATAAGGTATTTAGCGATTTTCTGTTTAAACGATATTTCAAGGAGCGTAGGCAGTTTACTAATTTTGATACTTTACTAATGATACTATCAATGTGGTTGTTCCATTTACAATTGGCTTGAAAAGTAAGTCCAAGATGTTTGTTCAGTTACTTCCTTTATTTTGATTGATTTCATTAATAGGGGTGGTTTCACAATGTTGCGTTTAGTCGTGAGTGTTAAAGTTTCTGTCTTGAGGATGTTACATGTGGGTCGTCTCGTTAATTACATTATTGGCTTCAACATGCGGTAAGTCATTATCTTGTTTGGTAACTTCGGCTATTACAGGCAAACATGGCTTAGAGAGAGAAGATTTAGGAAGATCGCGTGTTACAGCGTAATATTGTAAGTACGATTTGGTTGCATTATAACCACGTGCAACGACGAACTCGTGATCAGCTTCTTCACACTTAAAATCGGTGGTTCCAATATGGCCGGTATTAATTCCCACTGTCCTTTTCATATCCCGCTCATCTACATAAATCCTCTTAACGTTTGTTAATAAAGTTGACTGCAGAGAATCAAGGAATGACACAAAGTTTTTAACGTCCTTGCGCTGATAACCTAAAAATCTGGTCTGAAAACATATACCAGTTGATTCGATAAAATGAATAAGCTCGCTGTATTTAATCTGGCCACTTTTATCGTTATCCAACAATTGAAAAGCTTCATGGACATCGATATCTTTACCAAATAACAGAGTCTTTTCTTCTTTTGTCAGCTGTTCATCTTTAAAGGCGTTCTCCAATTCTGCTAGTGTTATATCGTCATTGTTATCTATGTTATGTCGTTTGAGTACCTGCAAATATATAAATGAAATGAAATGAGGTTTAACGTCCTACTTTTATACACCAATTAGGTTTAGTCTGTCAGCCGATTAAGGATAATTCTGTGTGAATTTATATGTCCCTTAATTTGACTCTTGAATCATGTGGGAGTAAAACAAAATTGGGTGGCTATCTTTAATCATGAGAAGGAAGTATGCAATTCAAGATGGTCATCACTCCATATAACTGACCATAATGCCTCTGTTATTCCTGTTAAGGGAAATTTTGTATCTATATTTAGGTTTTAGGGCAAAACAATTAATTAAACTCAAACGCCAGATGAACACGTTTGACGTCACGGAAAAATCCAAGATGGTCGCCAAATAGCTCTAACTATTTAAACTGTTATAACTTTACATACAGGCATGGCCAAGCTGCGATTTTAGAGTCTATACATACGTTATGGGCATCAAATTATTCGTTATATTAACAACAGATGACGTTAGCGTGAACGCCAGGGTGGTCACCATAATGACCATTATCAGTGATGAATACCGACGTATTTTGTCATTAACAAAACTAACAACTGGCTGAAATATTCTTAAATGAGAGCTATTAGCATCAGGATTACCAACAATTGTCATCTATCGGCTGTAGATGTAATTCTTAATTGGTGCAATTGTCTTATTCATTTCGTGAGATTAACTGTAGCCAGCGTGTGCTTTCATGTATGGTCATGAAAAATCGCAGCTATAAACATTCCTATAGGAACCTATAGTTTTTTACTTCGACATAGGGCCTCCAACTTGATTCGAGAGACAAATCAAGAGGATATATAACTGTACAGTGAACCATCATCAGCTGATACACTGGTTAACCAGCGGCTGCCAGGCAGGATACGCCCACATTTTCGAGAGACGGATGGAGAACAAGCTAAAAAGAAAGTGATTTTTCCTACAATCAAGGGCCATAATTCAGGAAATTACAATTCGATATGCGCAAATATCGAAAGGAGCCGAGGTCTTTGCGTTATAAACTTACATATCAAGTGTCAACAAAATCGGATAAAAATTGAGACCTCTATAGGGTCCAAAACCTTGATATACCATATTTTTAACCTCTTTGAGAACGAACGGCGGCCATTTTTTCTGTCAGTTTTGGGCCGATTTTCACTAAATTCGTACAATCAGGGGCCATAATCCATGAAGTTACAGTCCGATACATGCCAATATCGAAAGGAACCGAGATCTTAGGGCGATAAAACTATATTTCAAGTTTCATTGAAATCGGATAAAAATTGTTACCTGTAGACGGTTCACAAACAATTGTGGACGGACGGACGGACAGGGGCGACGACAATATACGTCCACGCGAAAATGTGGGCGTATAATAAAACGGGCATACTCTGTGCGTCGTGCTATGAAGGAAATTTTGGTCGGACAGCGCACCCACACACATACACAATCAACACAGTATTAGGCCATTTCGAGACGAGCATATATAGTTTTTATTTCAATAATTCGATGGCAACTGGGTGAACCATTTGGTTAAAGGATGGGTAAGCGACGATTCTCCTTGACACGGACATGCGTGGGATCGCAACAATTTCTAGAGATTACGACTTGGACAAACACATCAGTGAAATTCTTACCTTAAGAAACGAATCAACAGCTCTAACTACATGTCCATGTTCGACAGCAAGTTTATCTTGTTTTTGTTTCTTCTTTGATTTTTCTTCAAATAATTTGGTGGACGAAGATGGTTTTAATGGCTGCAGAACTCCAATTCTCTTTTCTAAATTATATCTTAATATGTCACTTTCATTATCGGCAAATAATAAAAAACCCAGAGTCTTGGGATTAAAAGTTCCGAATCGCTCTGTTTTATCATAGAGACGAGGTAATTCACTTAATGGTTGTAGCTTTTCTATAAAACTGTTACCCGGTTCCATAGATAGATACCAACCATCAAAACAATGAATGGGATAATTGCAGAGGACGCCACCATCGACGTATACATCCGTTTGGCCGTAAGACGTGAATTTAGTAGCACTAAACATGCCGGGAATGGCCATGGACATTCTAACAGCAAAGCGTACAGCCATATTGGGCGTGGTCTTAGGGTGACAATACTCAGTGGTCATTAGACTTAAGTTTGTTACAACAACACATAGCTCTATTCCAAACTGTTGATAAACTTCTTGAAACGTCACATCCGGGTTGCCCGTCTTAAGTCGCATTTTATCGCCAAACCACTTATAGATTTTTTTCCCAGGATTCCACCCATATCCAGAAATGAGATTTGGTAGAAGACTGCAGTAACCACAACTGTGATCTATGAACACGTCAGAAATATTGTTTCCCAAAAATTCCTCAATTTCATCTGGATTATACCCTACTGTTATCAAAGCAGCTGTCATGGCGCCCGCACTAGCTCCCGCGATTCGTTTGATGTTTTTCATCACCCCAACTTCCTGAAGGTATTTTATAGCTCCACAGTAAGCCAGGCCCTTATTTCCTCCTCCTTCAAGAACAAGATTCTCAAAATCAAATACAAAATCCTTTGGATCTGTGGCAATTGCTAGAAGTTCAGTTTCTGTAAGACATGATTTAGACCGGCGTAACCTTTTATTAGATACCGAAGCATCCATCCTGTCATGCGCACAAAGGTTCTCGTCGAATTTAACTTCGTTTTCCTTTTTATTGACCAGCTCCATACGAGCTTCCATGTTGAGTTCGTGGGTTGATTTCGGTTTCTTTTTACGACTACTACACTTGTTACCCATCTTGATTGTTGATTTGAACGACAACGGGAGAAACTGTGATTCAAATTTCAAACAACAAGTCTTTTATATGGAAGGTACGTTTTCTACCTTTGTACTAACTCAGGGTGCATGACGGTCTCAATATCAAATGTACGTATAAAGATTCAATGAACATACGTGTGGGAGGATATACTTCGCTTGTCCTTTTAATGAATGTAAATGAAGTTTAATAATATGATACACGTGTAACACAGCTAATAAAAAATCTGGTGGGAAACGAACATGAAACATGAAATTTACCTTTTAATGTTTATATTAAAGACACAGTATAAATGGAGCACTATAAGGTGCGTGTAAATCATAAAATATAATTAATAATGTCAGCCAATTTAAACAACACGAAACTTGGAATAGAAGTACCGGGCGTGAAACTAAACTTTAAAAATAATCACGGAACTCAAAAAAAACAATTGTACTGATACAACTACACCGGCCGTTTACCACAGTAAATAATCAAAATAAGCATAGTTAAAAGATGCATAAACTATTAGATATGTTATCTTTTCGAATAGATAAATATATATCTTAATAACGAATCAACACGATATATATATTTATATAGAAGGATCTACACAAACGACCTTAAGAAACTAGGCCGGTCAACTTGAAAATTCTCCGGAATTGCTATTATTATTAGTTTTCTGCGAAAATGCCCATAAACAGTGAATATCGTTTTTAACGTTAATAATAATGGAAACCAAACTCACTTTTACAACTTCCTTCTTTCTCATCAGCTTAGAATTATATTCTGGAATCTAGAATCATCTTCTCTAAGAATCCAGACTTTGAAAACAAAAATAACAAATTATACTTCGGTATTAAACGGAAAAAGTAATGTAGTTTACCGTCCGATAAATAAACAGAAATGAAATGAAATGAAATGTGGTTTAAGGTCCTACTGCTCTGCTCCGAACTGGGCTAATAAAGATGGGCATACGCCATACAGTGTGCTGTGAGGGAAATTTTGCCCGGACAATGGCACTACGGCCTACTTTTATATCGAATTTCAACTGTCAGGGGATCTTCTACGTGCACGCCAATGTGTACACGGGACCTCGGTTTTTCGTCCCATCCGAACGACTAGACAGCTGTCCTTGTCAGGCCCTCCGTCCTGCATCACTGACAAGGGGGAACCACGCTGGAAAACCTCGATGAAATAAATAGAGTGACACGGTAATCGAGCGCTAAGAACATTTAGACTAGAATGCACCTCGTTCGATTCTCCGGACTTATCAAGCCTTGCTCCCGTTTGTCAAGGATATTGCCAACGGTTGACAAGTATCGTTCGGATTGTTCGGAAACCGCGAGATACACCCGTATACACCTAAACAAACCCTCGAGGGTTGAACTGCAATGAAGAGTGGGAAAAGTCGTTGTCCGGGCAAAATTCTTGTCCGCAGCGTTGCACATGTGACCATAGATGTGCATTGATGTGGGCTTAAAATTACATGCCTTTCCTATCCAATCTTATCAGTGGTGGTTGTGTGATGGACCGAGAAGAACAAACTGGATGTTTTAAGCCCGGTTCTCACCTATCAGATGTGATTCCGCCACTGCTAAAAAGAAATGCGTGTCTAGTCGTTTAGATGAAAACACGAGGCCCTTTGGTTAAGTACATGGATGGATTGAACTCCGCCTTGCCCAAGCAAACGAACCAGTGTGCCAGTCAGTGAAGAAGTGTAGTAAATGTTGTGTCTTAAATTAGTTTTAACCTAAATCTAATATAGTGTAATTTATACATACATGTAGCAACTTTAACCCTTGTTTTTTAGAAAACTATATTCAGTATAGCAAAAACGGTACGGAGTTAAGCAATAATGGAATTTCCAATAATTGTGTTACGTGATCACTATAAATAGACACTGTCTCGTATCGATTTTATACATATAAAATAAAAATAGAATTCATGTTATTCCCGTGGAATATAGTACATGTCATTTTATTTATATCGCAATTAGTGGAAATCCACTAATAAAAGAGTCGAATAACCACTTTAAAATACCAGTTCATTGTAATTATTGTAGAGTCGATAAATTATAAATAATTAAGATTCTAATGATTAACTAGTATTATTTCATGGACATGCATTGAACTCTACATTCAATAAGAAGATGAGTAAAAAGTCATTGACTTGCTTTTAAATCATTGGTATTTTTCACAATATAGGCCTACGCAACTAACATTAATCTTACCTGAATAATATTATGTTAAATCAAAGCAAAGATTTTATAAGACTGGAGTGGTACACATAATAGCACCAATCCCTATTACATACTTTCCGCTTACATGGACACGCTATTTTAATAACGTCATACACGTGTTACGATTTGGAGATAAGTTTCGAGAACTACATCCGGCTAGAGATTTAAAGAGTTATTATCAATTTCACCACGAAAATAAACATACAGCGAATAGACTTTTTTTTTGCGGTGTTGGGATGGGCCACACATACCCAAAGGTTTCATTCGAATGAAATGAATATTGGTACTATAGATTGAAATATTAGATTAAAAAAAGAAATACAAAAATAATCATTCATCTCCTAACTATTATATTTTTGGAAATCGCTTTGAAAATATCACCCACACTAGATTACGTCATGGATAAAGTGTGTTAAATCATGGTCTGTATAGGGTAAAATTAACTCCGAGTCCAAAATGTGAATGTGGCTGGCACGACGAAAATGCTGAACATGACTTCTTTAAGTGCAAGCGCTTTTCAGTTAACAGGACTACACTATTATTCCCTAACTAATTTCAAAATCGCTAACGTGTCCATGTTACTATGGGGTGACGTGGATCTGCCCGATGAAAAGAATACTTATATATTTTCTCAAGTTCATACTTATATAACATCAACTAAACGATTTACCTAATTGCAATTATAATATGTATATAGTAGTTCTTTTGCACTCTTTGTATGCATGTTTTGTTTTATTTTGTAAATGTAAATGTGTTTTTTTCATATTCCGCAAATTTATAAGTATTATTTGTTAAAATATTCCATTTATGTAAATTGAGCATCTAATGCAATATATTTTTGATTAGTTCAGTGAAATGAATATAACTTCGTATCGATCATATGAAATATGTAAAAAGTACAATGTACAAAGTCCTAAAACCGATATTGATTAAGTCAAAATACCTCTAAGGCAAGAGTTAAATGTAAAACGTCAAATGTTAAGTGTTAAATGACAAATGTTTTGTGGGAAAATCGTTTTTTGTTACTTTATCAACTTGTGTTGATATTTTTTGATATCAAAAAAGACTGGTAGGAGATTCTCTATTTATTAGTAGGAACATTCCAATATCACCAGCTTATGGAGTTGTTGTGTCTCAGCTAATTCGTTAGGCGAGAGCGTGTTCCTTTTATTCTGATTTTTTTAAGTAGATCGAGGCATTTGTCATCTAAGCTTCAACTACAGGGATACTTGCGAACTAAACTTATTAAAACCTATAAAAAGTTTTATGGCCGTCATATAGACATGATTGGTAAATATAACATGTCTCTCTCGGCTATTATTCTAGATATATTTAATTGACGCGTATACTATCTCCCCGATAATGTTTGTCTACTACATCGTTAACACTGTTCATCACGTGCATTTTGCATACCGATAGTTCATTGGTCAATTACGCTATTTTACCGAGTTTTCGTCTAATAGTTTGGATGCAGCTATGGCGCGTGTGGCACCAGGCAGGGTAAGCTTACTCTTCCGAACACCTGTTACCACTGTTTGTCGTGTATTTTGTACACGGCGAACAATCCATATGCTGATTACACTATTTTGCCTGATTACAATATTTTTCCTATACCGTTTTTTTAGGACATCGAATTCTGTCTAATGGTTTGGATTGTTCGTACTTGGTTTTATTTTATTTCACATTCCTGCTTTCATTGATATGGTACTTTTTAAAATGAAGAAAATGAGAATGCGTTCAATATTCTCGTGGCCTCCTCATTTCCACGAAAATCATCACCAAGGAAAATGTACTGAAAATGACATCCTGAAATAGATGGAAAAAAATGGGTTAGTCACAAGATTATGTCATCCACTTGGGTTACCACCGGACAGTGCTATTTGGTAAAAGAGACGATGTGCAGTTCCAGTTGCCATATATTATTTCTCTAGCTAGAGAATTTTCGGGAGATAGCCAAAGAGAATATTGAATGAATCTATCCTTCAAAATGACCAGATTAAGTCCCACAGTTCGGCTCTCTATAATTTGGCAATGGTTTTCTATCTCAAGAAGGATGCGTGGAAGTTTGTCCATACTACTGTCATGGGTCTTGCTGAATGTCTACAAAAATATAGCAGCTCCTTGGGTAGCCATGCGAAAAGGGTAATTAGGTCTAGGCCCTATGTACTAGTATACGCTCGGTGATTTAAGATTCGGTGACGACATTTTAACTAAGTCTATCGAAACGCCCTTTGGTTCTATTTCTCTTGCAATTTATTCATGATTGGGTCGTTTGCAATAAACCTACTGCTACAGTGGATGTCGCTATATTATAACTGTAGGCCTATAGCCTATTGCACATTGCAATATTTCGTAAAAACTGTTTCATACTTCAGCTTAATTACTGGGGATTTTCGAAAGCACTAGTTGAATGATATTATGGACCAGCGGCTGCCAGGCAGGATACGTCCACATTTTGCAAGAGATGGATAGAGAACAAGCTAAAAACAAACAAGATTTTTTGTACAATCAGGGGCAATAATCCAGAAAGTTATGGTCGGAAATGCCCAAATATCAAAAGGGACTGGGATCTTTGGGATATAATGATAGGTTTTAAGTTTCATCAAAATCTGATAAATATTGTGACCTCTAGAGGGTCCACAACCTTCGTAGCATACTTTTACACAATTTGCGTACAAAGTGCGGCCATTTTGTCCGGCAGTTTCATTTCGATTTTCCCGAAATTCGAATTCAACCTTCAATATGATGGAATGGGGATATATTTAAACGGTTTTAAAAATCGGAAAAAAAATTGTGACCTCTAGTGAATCCGCATGTTAAAA